AAAGAGTGTAAAATTTATAACTACAGCGTTATGTTTCCCCAGCCACGTACATACTTACTTATATCATTTATCTAACCGTTTGCTTCTCAGTCCATCAGAAGTCCACTTACAAGTGGTGTCTGAATGTCATTTTCTGTAATGCTGGTTTTAACCACCACTGATCCGTGGCTTAATTTAAGCCAGTAAGCAAATTCTAATCACGATGCGAACTCTGCAATAATACGGCATAATACGGAAGAATAAATGTAATGATGGAGCAGCCATTGCAAATCATATGACAAGAATCGGATTTTTTTACCTAAGACGACCGTTAAGGCGTTACACACTTTACATTAACAAAAGTGAAAAGTTTTTGTAATGCTGTCACGTTGACATGAGAGCGAAAGGAGGATATTTTTCCAGAACAGGAGAAAGAGGTAGGAAGATTTGAAAATTCTCCATTTCTTCATCAAGTCCGTCCCTGTCGCACAGTTCATGCTTTATAGGGCAGCGGTTTCTTCTGTCACATTAAAACCACTTCAATCACGTCCTAATGAATAAACCTGTAAAGTGCGTTCCTAAGAAGTTGCGTATTGGGAGCTTAAATTATTTTTTAGCTCACAAATCATTATGAAACTGGCCCATGCATTAGTCATATGATGACTAGCATACAAATAGTTATCAGTCCACTTCTGTTGTTCATCAGCTACTCAATCTACTTTGAAAACATCCCATATATATATTAATGCAGGACACGCAGAGAACTTAACACTGTGGTCTCGAAATAAGTATCTGAAATCAAAACTAACACAGCGTCTCGAACCGTGAACACCAACTAGGGCAGACCTTCCAAATGGAGGGTCCTTTGAACCTTTTTCGACCCACCGTAACGAAGTTTAAGGTCATCTATCTTCCACCAACCTCAAATACAGAGACAAACTACGACGCAGAGAAACTTTCCCTGTTCAAGAGAAAAGTAACAGTGCTCTGTTTCAGTATCTTCTAAGGCTGCTGGCCTAAAATAATTTCAAACAACAAAGGGTTGACGAGAAATAGTTCCTCCTCCACCGAGACTGCGAGAGAAAGTGGTCAGAGTACGTTTTCGTCTAACACAAATATATTCAGTACATTCATACAAATTCTAGGGCTCCCGGGCCGGACTTCGCACGGCCAAAAAATCAGCGTGTATAGTCCATATCGCTGGATGTGGCTCATACCTAGTATTCCAATTACAGGGAATGAATATAATGAATGCTAAATGGAATTTCTTATTATGCACTTGCCTAAACATAACCCACAACCATTCCATGCACCTTTAAATAATTCTCAGACATAGCCTATTCTTACAATTTCATATTTTATGGTTGTCATACAGATTATTTGAAGACGAGCTGAACAGTTCCAGTAATACAGGGTATCTACAATGAAACTCCCTGATTTTGATGAGTTTTAAAAATAGGCGTTTTTTTCCCTTCAGGTCTAAGGGTAAGGGTCTCCTGCGTACTACAGTAGTTCAAATTTCCTCCTAAATTTTTAGGCTACCTCACGGGCCACCGTTGGGGCGCTGTTGTCATTTCACGCAAAGATGGCGTCAGCTCAGAAGAAGGCGCGAGTTGTGTGGTTTTATGAGTTTAAGTCCATTGTGAGGCCATATCTCTATTCCTTACTTCCTGAGAATACGATAAAATTCGGGCGTTTCATTGTAGATACTCTGTACAACACATGTGGCTCAATTTATCTTCATTATAGGGATTTTTCAACTTTATTCTGCTATCCTTGAGCAATAAATTTCATCCAGTGTATAAAACATAAGTCTACTAGTTATAAGTAAAGAGTAAATAAATGAAGACTTACTAACAATGAATACTATAATGTGCGTACAGCTCAGTAACAATGTACACAAATTTCTATTTCGATAGTTCAGTCATCAACACATAGATGCACTTGGTATGCACTACACAATATTATTGTCTGAAAGTATTTGTGCTAACTGGAATTTTTCCCGACATGGCGAGAGTAAGGTCGTTTCAGAATCCGCTGTAAGTTGGTTTGGAAGTTCGCCGTGCTTGTGCGGCAACTTCTCTGACTCTACTGTAACACGTTTAGTCTAATCCGAAAGCTTCAGGCGACAAGCGAGTTTTAGCTGTACTCGCAGTTACAGCGTACATAGCGTTGAAGTTCTACAAAACCGGCACATCGTATGTTGCATCAGGGCTCACATAAAATACAATGTATCTATAAAGTTATGATGCGGTTTTCAAGCTTTGCTACATTGTAACAGTTACTGCCGGACAAGAATTAAACTACCAACAAACAAGATAAATTTTATGTTCTCGCGGCGGCAAGTAAAATGATGACTGTCTTGTAGGTTGCTGAGCCATGTAGTGTGGCAGAAGTTAACATACGTTTCGCCATAATACTGCTACAACATTTACACAAACAATGGTGTTCGTTTGTTAGTATCATAGTTACTAGGTAATGTGTCAATGGTGGTAGTAGTAGTAGTGGTAGTAACATTTGTGGCGACAATAAAATTTGTAAAACTGTCACAAATCATGTACTTAAATTTGTTACAGGTGTAATATATTTGTAGATACAGATCTCGAGATTTGTATGTGCGTTCTGATGTGTATCACTCTGTTGGATAAACACTTCCATGCACCAGCTTATGATAGGGTTGCAATATTTTTTAGCATGTTTCATTAATATCGTTAAGAAATAATCATTTAAACAAATTAATATACCACACTTGTCAAACACGTGGATTTTATAAACACGTATCCGATTAAATAAGTGGAATATATCACTTATGTATCATGAATCCAGTCTATATCCTTACATAATATCACTTTAAGACCCATTTAAATTCATAAACAATAAGATACACACACGCAATGTACTGAGTTGTCTACACGTGAATTTAGTTGTAATTCTTGCGTCTAAGATTACCCTACAAATAGATATGATATGTCTAATATCCCATTTCCCCTTCACCATCCTTCAGGATAAAAACCCTCGCATATAAAACTGAAAAAGAAAGCTAGACATATATCTATGTATGCTATAAAAAGAGGAGAATCAAAAGTAATGTCAGCATACTATATATATATATATATATATAAGACATGCATCATCCATCACTCCATCAGTCGCAGATATCTCGCTGGTGTCTGCACAAGTTCATATTTTTGCAACTATCGTCAAACTCTCTGGTATGACGTTTATCAATATTTTGTAAAGCTGCCTGAAACATGGTATAGCTATATTCAATCCATTCACGAAGAAGTACGAAACAGTAGCACTGGGGACTCTGATGGAGGGAGCTGTACGGAAGACACGGGGGAGGGGGGGGGCAGAGCAGTTCGGGGCAGGGCAGGGCGTGGCGTGGCGAAGGGCTCTGGTCGAACAATGTTTCAGTCGGTGTAAGAAAACTCTTACTCTCTCTAAAGAGAATGACAGTGTCTGTGTCTGAATGTCACATTGGCAAAATACAATAACTTTATTCTACCAGCATCGTCACCACAGTCACCCCCCCCCCCCCCAGCCGTTAAATTACAAACATTCATTATGCACTTTGACTTATCTGACTTGGGGCCAAACAAAGGCGCTTCATTAAAGTTTCCCGCTCTTGGTTCTGTAACATTTTTGAATAAGTATTACAAAATTTCTCATGCGATGAAACGTAATTGCTGTAAGATTTTCAGGTTACAATATACTAATTTAAATTAGAATACATTTTCATTGCTTTCAATGTCCGTCTCCCTTTCACTCCAAAAGTCCAGAAGCTTTCATATGTTTTAATCATGGTTTAAATTAGATCTTGTAAAGCATAAATTTAATCGGCAAAGCTTTCAGACATTGTCTGCCCAATTCAAAACAAATATTGTAAATCAGTAATTGAAATAAGGCAGAAGAACGTCCATAATGCATGTTTCCATAAATATGACAAGTGTTCCAGGTAGAACGCAATATCTTGCATCCTTCATCACGTAGGACGAAGGACAGCTTGTTTAAACAGGATTTATCTCAACTGTGCTTTGCCTGATTCTGCAATAATCTAGAGCTGTTGGACAAAATCTCC